TTTTAATGCTTGAGCTCGTTACACTTTTCTTGCCTAGACCGCTTGCGAAGGCATCTTGCCGACGCGTTCGTTAGTTTGTTAAGTTCATCGTACAGATTTGACACTGCCTTGTTACATATTTCCTAGTGACCACACCAGCGTGTCACCAGAGTGAGACAGACCCACGTGATGTCCATTGGGATGTCTGTACGGGATGTAACCTTGTGTTTATCCCTCGTGACGCCCTTGTCGCAAGAAATCAGTCTATTCAAATATTGTTTTACCTGTTGTTTTCAATGTCTGATATCACCGACTTTATTGATACATTGGTTTAGTTCATGTTTGAGACTCTGAGCTGAAGTTACCAGGATTTTGTCATGTTTGAGACTCTGAGCTTAAGTTGCCAGCGTTTTCCTTAAATGAAAAGAAATGAACCTAGTTTGCGCGATGTAATAATTTCAGAATAAAATACTTATAATGGCAGCATTCTCAAACAAAATATATTAATTTTTTCAGGGGATGGTGGGTGTGTATTTTGGAGTTCGCCCCAGGCTACGATTACACATGGTACGCCACGATGACGTCCTTGAACACAATGAACAAAAAATTGAAACAATGACTAATCTGAAAGAATTAGATTAGGTCGAGAGTGAGGCCATTGTGAACCAAATTGATCCATGACGTTGTTTTTGTCCTAAGAGTGTACATCCTTACAGCAAAAGACCGGACGAGCACTTGATCGATCAATAGCTCTACGCAATGTACTTTATCCTCTGATTGGTCTATATTTCAACATAGACAAATATAGGTGACGTGATCAGATAGATATTACTGGACTTATAAACAATAGCAGAACTTATAAATTTAAGCGAAAACGCAATTTAGTCATCACTTTAATTCCACTAAATAAAATATTTATTTGAAATTCTTTGAATTTTGGCTTGCGTTTCTAACGATTACACTTCATGCGCAAAAATTTACAAAGTTGTGATACCAAAATGTAATTGATTGTCGTTACATCATTGGATATTTGAAAAATATTCTTTTTTTTTTTTGTAAATTACTTATTCTCGTTGTTCCAACAATCTTCAAAGCTTCAGTGGCCATTTCAGTGATGTATCTTTCGGTCCTCTTGGTGTTCTTCGCATCGGCCCTGGTCGTCGAGTCCAAACTACTGACCAACGCCGCACTCTACAAACAGGCCTACCAGAGTTCGGACTACATCCGAAACCGTCCAGTTTTCTACCCGGCCTCGCTGGGCAACGACGGTGACCGCAACGACAGCTTCTTCACGGGGCTCAGCTGTATCCACACGGATTACCAGAACGCGGCCTGGTGGATGGTGGATTTGAAAGGAAGTTACGCCATAGAACAGATCGTGCTCACCAACAGGTGGGTCAATTACGTGATTTGCGTACTCAAGTGCTGCTGTGTACGTGTAGAATAAGCACAGACGGGTTGTGTTTTGTGCATGTGACTTCAATACATCTTTTTTTTTTTAAACAAGCCGGTTATATAAATGTTTTAACATATGATAGACAGAGCACAGCTGCCTAGCCAGATTTTTGATGGATTAAATAATAATTAAATCAAGTATCTAGTTTGTCGAAAATTGCATCTTTCATTTTACAAAAATAGTTCTCAAACACATGCTCCTCTAGGCTTCAGGAAATATTTCTAGGCCACGCCCCTGCCTCTGCCACTGGTAGTGTCACACTGAAAAATGGGATTGTCATTGGTTTTTCAAAAGTAAAAACAAAAAACTTTCCGAGTAACTTTCAGTTTTTTATCGAAAACTAATGCCATTTGGGGCAACCATCAATGATTTCAAGTGTCTAGGGGTCGAAAACTAATGCCATTTGGGGCAACCATCAATGATTTCATGCGTCTAGGGGTCGAAAACCAAAAGGGGTGGGTGAGAAATGTATGACTATCAGTGAACAAGTGTCTAATTTGCGTTCCACCCAAATTTTCTGATGAACAAATGTGGGTTGGATGTTAAAGAAATTGGCAACAAATGGCATCAATTTATTATTGGATGTTTCCTTAGTCGTAAACGTATGTGGCTCTGCTGATAGCATAATTATCGGTAGTCGAAGCATTTAAAGATTTGAATATATTTAGCAATATAATTCCTCAAACATGAAAAGAATTAATTATTTTGTTTCTTAGCTAGCTTCAAATTAATCAGATTCGGGAAAAATTCAAGTTGGACAGCCATCAGCTAACATTGGAGTTGGATAATTCTCATCCAGTGGAGTAGCCAGAGCTTGTGATGGCCAGGGTATTAATTGCCTTTTCCGCCCCTCATTCCTGAACACCACAGAATACGCATTACAAATAAACCTTTTGCAAATTTAAACTGAAACATAAATTGAACCCCTAAAGCAAGTGCCGCCTTTGGTGGACCACACCTTTACCTCCCTCTTGACAACCCAGTGATTTCAGCTATCGTCCATGTGTACCGGACTAAACTGACCTCAAACTCTATTGGGATACACCCCAGCTAACGTTCAAGCAAGGCAGCCTTTAGTTTACCTATAACTCCACAGCCAAACGTGAGCAAGGTCATTCGTCGTATTGTGGTTCTTATTTTTCTTTTTAAAAAATACAAATAGCAGCAATTAATACTCAAATGCTAACTGTTATTTTGACGAGATGTGTTACTTTTGATATTACTAACAGCCCCTAAGCTACTCAATAGTTATTCTTTAAGACTTCAGTAGGTGAATGTGTGTCCAGGCTGGAGACATAATACGGCTTCTTTCGTTAGGATGGATGTCAATCGTAATTAAAGTTTTTTCAATTCCAGGCGAGACTCATCAACAAGAATGATGAATTTCCTCATCGATGTCTTCCAGACAGACTACAGACTTTCAACCAACTTTACCACCATCAAGGGAGATGTATGCTATTCCCAGTTGGCAGGCCTGGGGCCCGGGACGTTTACTTTCAACTGCACAGCTCCAATAACTGGTCGCTACGTCCGGCTCATACGGTAGGTGGCGTAGGGAAGTGATCCCCAGAAAATGGCCGTCCGCGGACACGTCCACGAGCCTTGCGCTGCTGGTGTCCACAACATGGGACTAGAACCTGGATATAACTTAAATAAAGTTAAAAAGCCAGAACAATATCCTTAAAACTGCTAGAGTTAAAAGTTAAAATAAAACAGAATCCTCTCGCATTGGCGGATCACGGATTAATATTTAAGATGAAATAAAAAAGATAAGAGCAATAAATAAATCTGGCACCTGTATCTGTTGCGACGGGAAACTTATCCACCGGTCCCCTAAACGAGAAAGCTTGGGAAACACTGGTGTAAACTCTAAGATGAACATGTTTTGTTTTATTTTATTCCCATGTGAATGAAAACTATCATTTATTCGAAGTTTTCGCGTGAGAGTTGCGAATCGGGGTTTTGTGCACACTGTATCATTTTGTTTCTTTGAACCTACGTTCCACACTTCTTACGAACGTTAACGGTCAAGATATTTGGCGACTTAATTTAGTTGTGTCATCGGCAGAGCCGCTGAATGGGCCCTGCAATCCCTGCCGAAAGAGGCAGCGGGCTCCGAAAATCACGAGACGGCTCTGGTTATCAGTTTGGTTTCAACGCTGCTTTAACAACACGACTTCAGCTGCTGCTGTTTTCTTGGCTTTTCTTCATTTAAAAGATAAATATCTTTCAGGGGTGCTGGTTTAGTAAAATTGTGTATGAAACCCATCCCTCTGTGGTGTTATGTATTGGGTAAATAATATTTTATTTAACTTGAAAAAAAAAAAATCTTTTACATTTCCAGATACGCCCTGAACTATTTTCACTTCTGTGAATTGGAGGTCATGGTCAGAGACGCTGTTTCTAAGCCTGCTACACTTTATTCCGCCAAGAACAACTCGACGGTCCAAGGTCCGTTCGTTGGGTTATTCACGGGCTGGACGGTCTTGAAATGTGCTCAGCACTGTCATTTCAACAGGGATTCCCTTCCGTGCACCGCCTTCAACTGGGTGGCATCCACCGAGGAATGTCAGTTTCTCAATTTGGACCCCAGGAAGGTCATCTTAAGTAACACCACCCTGACGATGTACGCACCAGGGGTTCAGTTTTTCATTGAGTTTGTTCAACTGTAACTCTGAGCTAAGATTTCACCTAGTTCTTGTTAGGAGCGATGCTCATAGTATAAGTCCGTGTGTGCATCAGATTGTGTCAGTGTGTTGGTCAGTGTGCAGGTCAGTGTGTAGGTCAGTGTGTAGGTCACTTTTTAAATCTAATTTTATGCTGTCATAAATGAATGTACTTCTCGTTGTACAACTTTGTCATGAACACAAAACGAAAATGTAATATCTTCAGTTTCGTAACTTTATAAAACCTTAGTACCTTACAGCAGTACACTAACCTTTGAGAAAACGCTTCATGCAATTTCAGCTCTCTGTGATAAGTGGAAACTGTACGAAACCTTAGCTCTCTGGGTTATCTGGAAGTTGGTTAAAAAAGAAAAGTCCAAACACTTAAGTATTATGAGAAGTAAACAGCAAAAAAGGAACAATAAGAACGATTTCACTGCGTCAAAACAGCTCTCAGACTTCCATTAGTCTCAAGGATTCGTTTCGGCCATCTTGAATCGCATTCGATAGTTCTCAAACCACGACACCGCTACACCGTCTCACCGTTTATTCATTCCAGTTATGCATGGGGCAAAAGTTACCCTTTATAATTTCAAAAATTAACAATGACAACATGACTTCATAATTCCATGAACAAAAATGAAGACAGGTAAAAAATTAAGGGGCTAACATTGTCGGAGCGTGGAATACAGATTGAGATCTCTTGGTCTTACCTAAATGAACTATGTGTTCTTTTTTTGTTCTTTTTTTTTAAAGAAGAAAAGCGAAAATGTGGTTTGATCATGTGTGAACGCAGGGCGGTGACTAGAATCACTAACCATGTTAGCGGTGGCAGTATTTCATGTTCTCTTGCTGAGCCGGCTCGCGCTGTCCTTGCAGCAGAAGATCTTTGCCAACTCGGCACTCTACAAGCCCTCGTTCCAGAGCTCGGTGTACGTCTCCTTCGAGGCCAAGTTCGGAAACGACGGCAGCAGAAGTTTCGGGCCGGGTGACGTCAGCATCGTGCATACAGATTTGGACAACCCACCCTGGTGGATGGTGGACCTACGGGGCGTCTTCGTGGTGGAGCAGATCGTTCTAACGAACAGGTCAGTGGCTATTCTTAGAATATTACAGCGTCTCAGGACCCTGCAGGTGATTAGCTTTGTTATTGTTATTGACATGGACCCTGACAAGTCAGCATTGTCGATGTATACAGCGTTTTCATGTACACCATTGTTCTGTACATCATTGTTATGTACACCATTGTCCTGCACAGCATTGTCCTGTCCACCATTGTTCTGTACACCATTGTTCTGTACACCATTGTCCTTTATAGCATTGTTCTGTACACCATTGTCCTGTACCCCATTTTCCTGTACACCATTGTTCTGTACACCATTGTTCTGTACCCCATTGTCCTGTTCAGCATTGTCCTGTACACCATTGTTCTGTACACCATTGTTCTGTACCCCATTGTCCTGTTCCCCATTGTCCTGTACACCAATGTTCTGTACACCATTGTTTTGTACACCATAGCGTTGAATATAAATTATCGTTAAGGCTTGATGCTCCACAGGACCACACAGTGCACTGAACATTTTCTTTCTAAAGTGGTGACAAGCATCGGTAAGGGTAGGCAGTGTTGGGATTAGGCTTAGGGTTAGGGTTAGGGCTAGGCTTAGGGTTAGGGTTAGGGAGGTTCAATGCCTAGGAATGTTAGAATATTGATTGTCCTGACTCTCCTCGTTTCTTGACCCAAGCATTAAACAGATGTGTATAGCTTTTGAATTATTTTTGTTATGTAGTCGTGCTGACATAAGACCTCGATATTTTAAGTCAGCGATGTTGAACCTCTTTCATCTCGGATGGCTCATTTCTTTTATTTATCACGTAAGCCAGCAGCCAAAAAAACTAAAATCACATGTGCACAAAAATCTATGTTTGCTTGTTTGCATTGTCAAATGGCTGTTACAGAGCAAGCTTAAACTTCTTGTCATAAGGTGGCAGGACAAAGTCCCTGATACAGAGATCGTACAACGGCTCACTTTGTCATCGTCCTCACGCTCCTACAAAAAGAACATGCCAGCAGGGCGGGGCATGTTGCAAGAATGCCATACGGCTGACTTCCTAAACAGTTAATGGGAAGCAAAGACGCTTTTAGGACTGTCTAAAAGCTTCAACCAAATCCATGGACATTGACATAGTTTTGTGGGAGACACTTGCTATGGATCGTACAAACTGGCGTGGGAAAACTCACTGTTTCATCGTACAAACTGGAAAGGCAGACTCACTGTTAGACCGTACAAACTGGCATGGCAGACTCACTGTTGGACCGTGCAAACTTGCATGGCAGACTCACTGTTGGACTGCGCAAACTGGCATGGCAGACTCACTATTTGACCGTGCAAACTGATGGGGCAGACTCACTGTGGAGCACAATCCTCAGAGAATAATTGCACCGCTCACATCCAAAGAAGGCAGACGACAAGGAAAAGCAGAATCGACTTAAATCCAAAACCACGTGTCTCATGTGCGGGATAGCTTTCCATGGTATAATATGGCTGGCAGGCCACCTGCCACTATAAACGAGCACAATGAAATAATAATATCGGAGGTGAAAGAACGGACAACAGCAGGCAGCCGTTCCTATTGCAGCCTACAAAAGCTACTGGGAAGCTAAAACCTCTCAAACAGAACAAGGAAGACAATATAGACCACAATCATGCGATCAGTAGTAGCGTACGCTAGTGAGACCTGGACCCTCACCAGAAAAGCAGAGAACTTGCTCAACACATGGGAGAGGAAAATCCTCAGAAAAATATACGGACCTGTGATAGAAAATGATATCTGAAGAATTTGTACAAACCAAGAACTTTACCCTTTGTACAGAGATCCTCCCATAGTCACAATGATAAAAAAGGCAGACTACGCTGTGCATGACATGTTGAAAGGATGCCAGAATAAAGAACTGCAAAATTTATATGCAGACAGAAGCCTAGGGGCAGACGACTCATCGGTCGCCCTGGGCAGAGATGGATAGATGATGGGGACATGGATATACACCAGTTTGGGGTTCGCGCATGGAGGCGTAAAGCCATAGATCGCTCCGAACTGAAAGATGTGGTGGAGTAACCCAGGGCCCTAAATGGGCTGTAGCGCCACTGATGATGATGATGAAGATGAGGCTACCTGCGTACTCATGATTGAATATAGCCTTGGTTAACTTCGCCTGTGAACGATATACAACAACAACACAGGGCCGGCTGGCGCGGATGGTAAACATATGTTGCCAGACAATGTTCTAGTAAATTATATTTTAAATGTATAAACATTTTATTAAAATAGTATATTATTTGTATGCCCAGTTTTTGGACAATTTAAAAAAAAGATAAGGACTGAGCCTGCGAACTATGTGTTTAGTCAGAATGAAGCATTTGGATTCATCCAGAAAGCAACATATGGTTCAGGAAGAATTCAACATTTGAAATTTCTTTACATAACTATTTTGAATGATGAGAGACTTTTAAAATGTGGGGAATCAGCTATTAGTCAAACCTCTAAAATATTGAAATCAGCTATTGGTCAACGACCTCTAAACATTGTTTCCACAGTTTTGTTGCCAATTCCTTTAACAAAGTAGGACAAATCGTTACTCCCTTCATTCCCTACGGCGCCCTCCCCCTTCCCCCCCCCCGCCCCCCCCCCCGCCTTTTTTTTTTTTTTTTCTCACCCTCTCCCAGCTTTTTTTTTTTTTTTGACTAGGAAAAATTTTGTTGCCTTCATTTTTACGTCACTTTAAGGATATCGATTAAGTCCAGGTCGGGTCAATTCTAAGCTCAGAGTCACTAATGGATATTAAAAGCGTATGGGGGTGGGGGAAGGGGAGGACATTCCAAGGTGGAGAGAAACGAGTGTTTTCAAGACCCCACTAACCGCAGGCGCAATAATCTGAGCGATGACGTATTTTGCGCTCGCACTTGGAATTACGGCTCTTAATTTTTACTTACTTTTTTAAAAAAAATTTTTTTTTTACAATTTTCCAATTTGTAACATTTGGCATTTATCTTAAATAATGTGGATAATGAACGAATCATTTATAGAGTGTGCGGGGACTTTTCCACTTATACAATTTACACCAGGAACATTAGATTTTTTAAAACATTTATTCTCAAACTGTGCATTACAATACATAAAGATGTTTGAATCGAGGGCTCTAAAATTGTTCTTCTAATGAACTCTGGTTGATTTGTTTCATTTGTTGAAACTAAGCAATGAATAAATTCCAATTTTCACACTAAATAAAGTCATTTTACTAATTTATGATCAGATGGGCGAATTTCCAAAATGGAACACTGGCATCTTTATTAAGTGAAACTGATCTGAGTTATTGGCTCTTCCCTGGCTTTTTGTTAAAGTTTTATTTATGGATTCGATATTTTTTTCTATATACGTATATGGTGTGTTATAACTCTATTAAGGTGCCGCTGTGAACTGAACAGACCAGTGATTCCCAAACTGTACTCCACGTGCATTTGGGGGGGGGGGGGACTTCATGTCCGTTCCCCTCCCGTTGTAAAATTGCTCCAAACGTATATGGTGTGTTATAACTCTATTAAGGTGCCGCTGTGAACTGAACAGACCAGTGATTCCCAAACTGTACTCCACGTGCATTTGGGGGGGGGGGGACTTCATGTCCGTTCACCTCCTGTCGTAACATTGCTCCAACACGCAATTAATTGTCAAGACATGGCGTGGTCCTACGGGTTTTCCAATATAGAAACTGATTCTAAGAAGGGCTCTGCGAGTCAAAACTGTTCTTAACCACTGTCTAGACACCATTAATTGTAGCATTCGTACTTAGATTACGTTCCAAACTCATGTTGAGATCACTATGCCCCTCTCTCTAGGCCCGACGACTTTTGTCTTCGACTTAAGAAATTCCAGATAGATGTGTTCACAACTGATCCACGGCAACTAGCTGACTTCCCCAGCGTGTCCGGAGATGTCTGCTATAACAGAACTGCCCCACTGGGCAACAGTACGTACACCTGGAACTGTACGCGCCCCCTGATTGGTCGATACGTCAGACTCGTCATGTGAGTACCTGGTGCAGAAAAGAAATAAACACTAAACAGCAAAAGTACATAATATAATGAAACTCCAATACGTAACACAATAAGAGTGCACAATACAACAAAAATACACAATTGAGCAAGAGTGCGTAATAAAACTAATGTTTAATACAAGAGAGGAAGAGTACACGATACATCAATAGTATACAATAGACCAAGAGTACGTGATCCGACCAAATGCAAATCATGTCGAAAGTCTCCGAACACAATTTATCTCCAAACACTCCGATTTCTGCACCAAAAAAAAAAAAAAGTTAAAAAGTTAAACATCTGAGAATTAATTTTCAACTCTTTAACAAGTGTCTCTGAAATGTCTCCAAAACAAAGCTTATAGCGTGCACTGGTAGAGTCATTTGACATGTACTTTTTAATGATACATTTATATTAGTTTTTTATTTCTATTTTATGTGACTAACGTCCGTCTAGAAAAGTATTAAGGGGGACAGAGGGAGAATATTTTGGAGCTTATTCTTTTAAATTTAAGAAAAAACTAATAATGCTTATTTGAAAAATAACTGGGGTTCAAAAAAAAAAAGGGGGGGGGGGGATTAAACGATAACCAAATGAAATTTTCACATAGGAATGATCATGTGATTCCATGCAACACTAAAATTATTGAAAATAATTTTTTTTTAAACGCTGATATGTAAGTGAAAAGCTTACGATTCGAACGCTAAGGACACAGATTTACCGATATTTTAACGCCCAAACAAGATGTAATCTATTAATTAAGTAACTTGCTGACCACATACATATGACCTTTGGCCTATCCATATCTGATTTGCTGTTTGAACTTTTGTCCATAGAGTTAAAAAGTAATTCAATAACAATTAATGTAAGACCCATCCATATCCTCCAACGATAACTTTCTGTCAATCCTCGATCTTATCGCCTAGGTTCGACAACGACTACCTTCACGTCCTCGAGGTCGAGGTCATGACGAGCGCCATCCTGTCCGCGGAGGAAATGACGTACACCGCCATGGACAACACGCGGCTCGTGCAGGGAACCCACCTCGGCAATCTGTCAGCGATGTTCTCGGCCATCCTGTGCGCCGGCGAGTGCTCCAGGCTGAGGGACAGCCTCGCTTGTACGGCGTTCAACTGGACACCGTCCACCTACGAGTGCCAACTGGTCAGGGTTGACCCCAGGATGACGATACCGAGCACGGCCCTGGAGTGGGCGGATGGGGTGCAGTTTTTTCTCGAAGACATTCAGGTGTAATCTGTTCAACGTGATTTGGTTGACAGGGTTGTTGTTTTTTTTAATGTTCAATGTCATACACAGCAGAGCGTCGATTATCCGGACTAATTGGGGCCCCTGGACTTTCGGATAACATATTTTTTCGGATTACTAATTTTGCGGATAATGGAATACACCCACAAAAAGATTAGTTAAATATATTAGCGCATAGAATACAATATATTCTCATCGCTTAGACGTATGTTTTGCTCACGAAAATATTCGATCAGGGCTAATTATTTCTTTTATCGTTAGGAGTGAAAGATGTAAAAATTATTTGTCCCCCCAGTCTGTACGAATTTTCCAGCTCCCCCTCCAGCACAGTCTACCAAATCTAAATGATCACTAATTAAGTTATTGTTGTCAGAAATGGAGCTCCTTTACGGCTAATTTCTACGCTAGAGAAATTCTATACATGTCTTGTGTTTAAATTGTTCTAATTGTAAAATGTTGCTGGGTTAAAAAAAATATGTATTTATTTATTTATTTACGTGCTGAAAATGAATATGTACAACGCAATTTAAAATCAATAACAATATCATATTATCTTAAAAGACGGGGACTGTTCGGATAAGCGATGCTTCGGATAATCGTCGTTCGGAACATAGACGCTATGTTATTGAGCTTGTAAACCTGCTTTTTAAATCTGTTTCTAAGCCTGCTTTTTAAAAACTCTTGTTCAGGTAATTCAGTGTACTTGCTTTTGACGGATGGATTAGCTGGTGTTTAGAACGGTAACTTGATTAGATATAAAGTTTGTACACTTTTAATGGAATATCCATAAGAATCCTTGACATAATGTGTAGGAATTTCGGTTCATGCGTTGCTGGAATAGTGTAAAAACTTCTACACGATTGATTGGCTCATAGAAAAATGTAAAACATCAAATATTTGTATATTTTGTGTATACATCGGGGAGGGGGGTGTTGATGCAGATTGTATTGTCGTCAAGCTTACAGGCCAAGGTCAGATGGTTGTCTGGATGTCCTTGTTACTGAGTGTGGATAAATATGAATTATGCCGAGATGGTCTCAATGAAACATTTGTTAATGTTGCACGATGCATTCTGGGGACATGAATTTGTTCAAGGACGCATCTGCCCTATAAAACATTGGTCCAATTAAAACATGTCCAATAAAACATTGGTCCAATAAAAACATGTTCGATACATGGTTTCACCTTGAGTCTATCGACATTTTATTTCTTCAGATAAGCATGAACATCGTACTGAAAATATGAAGGATAAGAATGAGTTGGAAAGGGGAGGGGGGAGGGGTGGGGGGAGAGAGGATTCAAACAAAAAAATATTGAAACAGACATCACATAAAAATCGTCTAAGGGGCTCTTCTAAGTAGTGCGACCTCACGAGCAAATATTTATGCTACCCTCCAACCATTTGATCTCCTCGTCTCCGATAACTCATTACCATGGTGGCAAATAAAAATCTATTTTTAGTATTAGTTCACTGCAGAGAATAAAAAAATCGATTTGCTTATCAGCCGCTTCCTTCAAATCCGTTGTGAAAATGGTCAAATTGTAGCTCAACTAACGGAACACAAAGATATGGTCAAATTGTAGCTCAACTAACGGAACAAATAGATATGGTCAAATTGTAGCTCAACTAACGGAACAAATAGATATGGTCAAATTGTAGCTCAACTAACGGAACAAATAGATATGGTCAAATTGTAGCTCAACTAACGGAACACATAGATATGGTCAAATTGTAGCTCAACTAACGGAACAAAAAGATATGGTCAAATTGTAGCTCAACTAACGGAACACATAGATATGGTCAAATTGTAGCTCAACTAACGGAACAAATAGATATAGTCAAATTGTAGCTCAACTAACGGAACACAAAGATATGGTCAAATTGTAGCTCAACTAACGGAACAAATAGATATGGTCAAATTGTAGCTCAACTAACGGAACACATAGATATGGTCAAATTGTAGCTCAACTAACGGAACACATAGATATGGTCAAATTGTAGCTCAACTAACGGAACAAATAGATATGGTCAAATTGTAGCTCAACTAACGGAACAAATATTTATGATCAAATTGTAGCTCAACTAACGGAACAAATAGATATGGTCAAATTGTAGCTCAACTAACGGAACACATAGATATGGTCAAATATTAGCTCAACTAACGGAACAAATAGATATGGTCAAATTGTAGCTCAACTAACGGAACACATAGATATGGTCAAATTGTAGCTCAACTAACGGAACACATAGATATGGTCAAATTGTAGCTCAACTAACGGAACAAATAGATATGGTCAAATTGTAGCTCAACTAACGGAACAAATAGATATGGTCAAATTGTACCTCAACTAACGGAACAAATAGATATGGTCAAATTGTAGCTCAACTAACGGAACAAATAGATATGGTCAAATTGTAGCTCAACTAACGGAACAAATAGATATGGTCAAATTGTAGCTCAACTAACGGAAACAATAGATATGGTCAAATTGTACCTCAACTAACGGAACAAATAGATATGGTCAAATTGTAGCTCAACTAACGGAACAAATAGATATGGTCAAATTGTAGCTCAACTAATGGAACAAATAGATATGGTTAAATTGTAGCTCAACTAACGGAACAAATAGATATGGTCAAATTGTAGCTCAACTAACGGAACAAATAGATATGGTCAAATTGTAGCTCAACTAACGGAACAAATAGATATGGTCAAATTGTAGCTCAAAATTGTAGCTCAACTAACGGAACAAATAGATATGGTCAAATTGTAGCTCAACTAACGGAACAAATAGATATGGTCAAATTGTAGCTCAACTAACGGAACAAATAGATATGGTCAAATTGTAGCTCAACTAACGGAACAAATAGATATGGTTAAATTGTAGCTCAACTAACGTAACAAATAGATATGGTCAAATTGTAGCTCAACTAACGGATTACATAGATATGGTCAAATTGTAGCTCAACTAACGGAACAAATATTTATGGTCAAATTGTAGCTCAACTAACGGAACAAATAGATATGGTCAAATTGTAGCTCAACTAACGGAACAAATATTTATGGTCAAATTGTAGCTCAACTAACGGAACACATAGATATGGTCAAATTGTAGCTCAACTAACGGAACAAATATTTATGGTCAAATTGTAGCTCAACTAACGGAACACATAGATATGGTCAAATTGTAGCTCAACTAACGGAACAAATAGATATGGTCAAATTGTAGCTCAACTAACGGAACAAATATTTATGGTTTAAATTGTAGCTCAACTAACGGAACAAATATTTATGGTCAAATTGTAGCTCAACTAACGGAACAAATAGATATGGTTAAATTGTAGCTCAACTAACGGAACAAATAGATATGGTCAAATTGTAGCTCAACTAAAGGAACAAATATTTATGGTCAAATTGTAACTCAACTAACGAAACAAATATGTATGGTCAAATTGTAGCTCAACTAACGGAACAAATATATATATATATATTTCAATTGTTGGACTAACTTCTTTCCTGATATCTTAATTTATTTTTTAAACATAAATTTTCTGAAATTCCTAATATGGTTTCTTAAAGGTTAATGTTATTTACTAGAGGCGAAGCTAGATAAAAATAACTTGTTGATACTACCAATGGGTAAAACAGGGGTGTATCAACAGGGGTGTATCAACAGGGGTGTATCAGCAGGGGTGTATCAACAGAATTGTATCAAAAGGGGTGTATCAACGGAGTTGTATCAACAGGGGTGTGACAACAGGGGTGTATCAACAGAGGTGTATCATTAGGTGTGTGACAACAGGGGTGTATCAGCAGGGGTGTATCAACAGCGGTGTATCAACAAGTACGAAATGTGTTTTAAAAAATTCTCGAGTGTCACAATTTTTTAACAAATGTGAGTTAGCGAATTAAAAAATGTAACATTTAAAAAATAACTTTTAAAAAGTAAAATTTAAAAAGTAACATTTAAAAAGAAACATTTAAAATGAGACATTTAAAAAGTAACATTTAAAAAGTAAAATTTAAAAAGTAACATTTAAAAAGTAACATTTAAAATGTAACATTTAAAAATAGCATTTAAAATGTAACATTTAAAAAGTAACATTTAAAAAGTAACATTTAAAATGTAACATTTAAAAAGTAACATTTAAAATGAAACATTTAAAAAGTAACATTTAAAAAGTAACATTTAAAAAGTAACATTTAAAAGGTAACATTTAAAAAGTAACAATTAAAAAGTAACATTTAAAAAGTAACATTTAAAATGTAACATTTAAAAAGTAACATTTAAAAAGTAACATTTAAAATGTAACATTTAAAAGTAACATTTAAAAATGAAACATTTAAAAAGTAACATTTAAAAAGTAAAATTTAAAAAGTAACATTTAAAAGTAACATTTAAAAAGTAACATTTAAAAAGTAACATTTAAAAGGTAAAATTTAAAAAGTAACATTTAAAAAGTAACATTTAAAAAGTAATATTTAAAATGTAACATTTAAAAAGTAACATTTAAAAGAAAAAATCGATCATCGTTGAAACATAACTTGTATTATTTTAAATACGATATTTGACACTTAGATTTGACACCTGGGTTTGACACCTAGATTTGACACCTAGATTGGCGCAATTTTAAAGTTCTTTCGATGTCTGAAAACCGGAGCTGAACCTTACACTGACTCGGTTACCCGGAAATGCCGAGCATTGACACACCCGGATGTTTAACAGAAAAGAGTTTGCTTTTCTATTTTCTGCAATGTGTTTCACCCCAAAGGGAAGAAATGAAAAATTGATGTACAGAGCCAGTAGATCTGTTTTTAACATACTTTTGTGTACATTTTAGCTGAATTTAAAAATAATACTAGAACACTTACTTAAGGATTGGTCAGAAACTTAATGTAAGCTAAATGAAGTTAAATGTAAGCTAAACGAAAGTTAAATGAAGCTAAATATAAGCTAAATGAAACTGAATGTAAGCTAAGCGAAGCTACAGTTTCTGTTTACCACTGATATTTCATTTCGCATGCTGAATGGCTGATAATAGTGTTTAACCAAAAGAATGTGTAAGAACTTCACGACCAGTTTGATTTGTTCGTTTTAAGACAGTGGTTCTCGATCTGTGGGTCAAGATTACCACAGTGGTCGGCTGACAAAACGTCCGGGGTTGTTTGAGAATTTCAGACATTTAAGGAGATGGGGGTGGTGGGGCAGATAGCGACCAATATGTGCATTTTTTAAAATTTAAATCTTTATTTTAAAATGTAATTTTTATTGACCGTGATCGTTTAGTTACCACACTCCGTTTGTATTAATATCTGGATGTGGCTAAATATGCCCCTGAAACTGTTGCAAACCACAAGGCGAAAAACACGTCCGATGTTGTCTTGCCTAGAGCATGGTAATACT